GTCGCGACCGCGCAGCACAAGTCGCGAGCACGAATGAAGTCGCGAGCGCGCTTGTGTGATCTCGCGAGCGCCGAGATCGCACGACTGAGAGTCAGAGTGAGGTTCTGGCCAAGTCGCGACCTGCCGCAATGGGAAGTTCGCGACGTGGAGTTGTGCATTGAGGTCAGAGAGCTACCTGACTCAAGGTCGCGAGCGCGCAAGAGGAAATCGCGAGCGCGACGTTGCTTTCCCAGATGCGCGAGCCGCGCGACGTGATCTATGCAGTCTGCTGTTCTTTTGGCCATACAATATACAACTTCAAATTGAATGATTCAAAAGCCCATGTAAAGCTAACACATAGAGAAACAAATAACTCTTCTATGACAATTCCTAATTCCATCATTTTCTGGGGTCAAAATCAAGATGAAGTTGCTGGTGAAATTTCCAGCAAAGCTCTGTTTCATAAAGTCATTCCATCCCCTGTTTTCACAACATATCCAATCTTCTCACTCAACAACAAGCACCATATCATCTCACTAGCAACACACCACACAATTTACATGCAAAGAATCTAGTAAACAACATGAGATATCAAACCTTGATGTCAAAAAGCTTGACCTCTGTTTTAGCTTCTCTTTTCTGCAGCTTTGGAACTTTCTTCTCCTATACACAAGAATTCTCATAACTCATCTCCAATAGAACTCAATTAAAGAGTGAATAACATATAACGTCAAGGAATTCTACTTACTTGGAGTGGACTTACTGCGTAACTTGCATGAAAAGTGCAAGGAAATGGAAGGGAAACGTAAGAAGAAAATGAAAAACAGGAAAATAGGAAAGTGAAAATGATAGGAACGTGAGCTGATAAGAACGGGTAGTCTCTAGAAGAAATGACTTGGCTGTGTAAACTCTCTAATTGGTACCTCAAGTGTACAAAGACACAACTTAATACCCACACTGTAATACCCACTACTGTAGTTCGGCTGCAAAACGACCTTAAACTTTTTATGCAAATAAGTCCACTTATCATCTCAATGCTACCTCCAACCGGTTTGGTTTAACCCACTCACCCTTCCTCTCATGAAAGTCCACTTATCATCTCATGCTACCCCAACCGGGTTTGGTTCAACCCAACTCACCCTTCCTCTATGAAATGACTCAACTCAACGCACTAGGATGTTACATTATTCTCATGTACTCCTTCCACAAACCGCGAAAGTTTTTTGGATCAGCCTCTAAGAAAGTACTTATATAATTTCCAATGTCTTTAGCGAAACTTTCAGACATGAATCCTATAGGCAACTCATGCACATGCACCCAAATATCGACAGTAGTTAACTCAACCCTTCTAGGATTCTCCCCCTCCTTTAGCAGGACGTAATAAAATCAGGTTCTGAGCAAAGTTGCAAGGCCCTCCTTGCAGCATCCGATCAAAATCAATTTGGTGGAAAAAATGAATAACAAAAGCATTATTGCCCAACTCAATAAAGGCAATACCTATAACAAGTCTCCACAGAGATGCCATTGTTTGCTTAATGGCTGGAAAATTCAGTGGCTTTTCTGTAAACAAACGAACAACAGTACACCACTTCCAGTCCTCTACCCCAGAGCCATCAGCCCCCACATCACCTTGGCCCTGTTCTGGATACACCTGCTGCCCTTGTCCCTCCTCTAGACTCAGATTAGCATAGTACTCTTCCAACGATGATAGAGTAGCCGCCATTGTTTCAGTAGGAATACGAGATACCAAAGCTCAAAAAGAAAAGACTTGTTAAACAAGCAAGAGAATTTAAGAGCTTGTCATACTAGACAAGAGTTTTTTTTTAACTTAATTACATAAATCTTACTGTTAATATTAAAATTGAAAAAAAATCATTTCAGCTGTAAGTTATCTATTATGTAGATTTATTATTATGATGGCTAATATTTAAAGTTTATTCTAAATCAATTAGAATTATAAGAATAAATATTTTATTAAAATAATGAAGTACTAATATTTGGGAGTGCTATCCACCACAGTTATTTTCACTAATTTGGTGAACCAATGAGAGAATTGCCCTTGTTGTGTCACTCGCAGTATTATCTCAACCCATTAAGCTTCCAATAAATTAAAAAAAAAAAAAAACACTAACATTTGGACTAAAAAACACTACTTAAAATTTATATATAAAAAATTAAATAATGCATACATATTTTGAGTCTAAACAGCGAGTACTAACAATGTAAGATACATGTTTGAAAAAACTATTAATTTTTATAATAATATGTTATAGGGACATCTTGACTTTTCAAAAAAAAAAAAAATGCCCGAGTATATAGTTTTACCTTGAACTTTAACTTTTTACTTTAACTGTTTAGCACCCTAAACTTTTCAAATGGTTAATTATAAACCTTAACTTTTATTCAATTGCCCTAAATTATAAGAAAATAAAGGATAATTGGAAAAAGATCAATGAATTACTATTTTTCTCACTTTATCACTCCTACCTCACATTATTATATTGTATCTAAAATAGGATAACATTGAACAAAATATCATTTATTATTGTTTAGAATACTTTAAACAATAAAATAATTACTCTACAACAATTTATATTTTTCAACGGGTGAGTATATATCTATATATTGACACCATAACTAGGGATGGAAACGGGACAGTATCCGCGAATTTTGAGCTATCGATACCCGTATTTGCTTAGAATTTTCCAACATGTATATGTCTCAAATCTGTTTAAATATCCGTTTAAGTACTCATATCCTAACTCGTTTAAATTTTTACTATCCGTACATATTACAAACTCGTTTAAAGTATTCTTTAAACGGGTAGGGTATCCACAAATTTTAAACTATCCAAACTTGAATTTATTTAAAATACATCTTTTACTAATAAATGGATAGGGTAGTTGAGGGTAACCATGACCAAACTCGTCTAATATAGTAGACAACATCTTGTGAGTGCCTAGAAACCAATACTCATATCCTATCATATCCATTGTGTATGTAATTTCACTATCCGTATATGTCTCAAACTCATTTATAACTATCCATAGTCTCATTAAACGGATCACAAAAGTGCGAATATCCTAAAATACTTGCCTCGCTTCCATTTCTAATCATCACCAGAATTAAATTGCCAAAGGTGGACGTGGCATGTTTGTATGGTAAAGGGGATTAGGAATCTCTTTTGTAACCTTTATGTCATTATGCGCGCTTATATGTATATATAATTAGTTTTCTCAAACATACATCGCACATTTGTGCATATTCGTTGGTTTTTACATATTGCAAATTAAATGTAATTCAATTTTTTATATAATTTTTTTATCATAAATGGCAATATTATGAATTGTTTGTATTAAAAAAATCCGAGAGTATCTATAAAATATAAAAAAGAATATTTTATGAAATAATAAAACGAAAAATTTAATAACTAAATAACTTATTAAGGAAATAATATATTATTATAGTATATTTATTATGAAAATAAAATTACTTATCAATCAATTTAAATTTTCTTATAACAATTTAAATTTAATTAACTTAATTTTTTTTATATATAATATAATACCATAAACTACGTATACTACTAAATATGAGCAACTAATATTAACTATTATAATCAGTAATAGTTATTTAAATAGAGAAACAAAAGAGAAACAAAATTGGTCCTTATTTAAATATTTTTAATTTAAATCTTTTACCCTTTCTAATATATATTTTTACATGTAAATTAAACAATATTTATTAAGATTTATTTTTGACCCTTAAATAAAATAAAAAGACATTTTTCTCCCTAACAACGGTAAAAAACAGCAATTTGAAGGGTATTTTTGGAATAAAAATTTTATATTGTGATTTTTTTAACTCTTAATTTAGATAGAAAGACGTTTTACCCCTTTATAATGCTTAAAAAAAAAAAAGGCTACTTGAAGGGTATATTTTGAAATAACAAATTTATATTATGATATTTTTTTTTGTTAATTGTTAAATAAATTAAAGGACATTTTCATCCGGTAAAAAAATGGAAAATTTGAAGGTTATTTTTATGAATAAAAATTTATATGTTAACTATAAATACCTTAATAATATTACTTTTTTTCACAAAATCAATTCTTTTTCTCTAAACTCCATTGAATTTCTTCTATCATTTTTTTTTCCTGATATAAATTAAGTGCAAGTCCATTTTTTGACATGTCTCTCAATTTAAATTTATAAAAATTAAATACTAGTAAAGAATTTTAAATTTTTGTTTTGTGTAGTTATAATTTTTTAATAAATTTTAAAAAGATTAATTTACTCTTTTAGTCTTTTTTTTTAATTTAAGACTATTATTTGTTATTAATTTTTTTATTTAGCTAAAAAAACTAAAAAGGTTAAAAAAAAGTTATCTAAATTTAGTTTCAAACTGGAACCAAACCAGAACCGTCTTTAAAACCATCTAAAAGCTGTTCGATTCCAATTTCACCTTTTATAAAATTGAAACCGGTGGTTTTGAAACCATAGTCATGCCTAAATATCTATATTATATAGTATAATATAACCAATCAAAATTAAATTATCTTTATTTTTAACTAATAAAATTAAAATCTTTAAAGATATTATATTATAACCATATTTAGTATCCATCAAATAGTATTATCATATTATATTATATTACCATATAATATAAGATATTATATTAAAACATATTTAGTATCGCAATCAAAAGTATTATCATAATTATATTATATTACCATATAATATATATTACTAACCATACTAATTTATATACCATATCCATCAAATAATATTAAACATATTATATTTATATTACCATATAATTAATATTACTACCAATATTATATTTATTAGCATATCCATCAAATAATATTAACATATATATTATATTATATTACCATATAATATAATATTACTACCATATTATATTATATTACCATATCCATCAAATAATATTAACATATTATATTATATTACCTTATAATATTTAAGTAAACATACTAGGGATAGTGTATTTAAGCATCATCAACACAGAACCAAGAAACACAAAGAACAATACAATTTAATATCAATGCCAATTATCACTCAACGCCGTTATATGGGGATCGTGGTTTTATGCTTTGTTTTCTTACTCATTTCAGGTAAAATGTCTTTCTTCCCTTTCCATCTTCTAAATGCATAAGCTTCCTTTTCTTTTTTTTTTTTTTTTTTTTTTTTTTTTTTTTTAAATGTTTTTTTTTTTTTTTTTTTTTTTTAAATGAACCTAAAATTTAATGAATTGAAGACAAAAGATTATTGCTTTAGTTTAATCCTTACTTTATTAGGGAGCTAGCCAAGGTTCAGTTTGAAATTGTAAATGAATCAACGCAAATGGAACTTTTGGAACCATTGAGATTCGAAACTAGAATCAAATTCTAGTTGAAATGAAGGATTTGGTTTTGATTTTAAACCAATTTATAAAAGAAAAAGAAATTTTATTTTGAAAATTGATCGAGAAAATTAGTTGAATTTGGTTGGACTCCTAGAACCAAATTAAAAAAGGAAAGACCTAATTCAAGTTTCAATTCTTCAATTTGATACTTTTTATACTACAAAATAAAATTCAATTATAGATTCATTTAAGTAATTATTAGCCTTTTGCATCGTGTACATCAGTTAAGATGTTGTTTTGAAAATGACAAAAAGAATAAATTATATAGTTGGATTTTTAAAATAAAATTAATTAAAACCATAATCAAATATTTCAATTATTTAACAATTTAATAGAGTGAAAAAATTGTATGCTTAATTATCTTAAGGATTCATATTTTTTATTTTTCATATTATTTTTATTAATGACTTTGTGGCAGGACCGACAACTGCTCTCGTGGGATCTTGTTTGGGGACATGTCAAAATTTTCCAAATTGTGAGCGGGCTTGCCATGCTAAAGGATTTCCGAAGGGAGGTGCTTGTATACCTCTTTCTCGTTTTGCTTCAGCCTGTTGTTGTAAATAATAGGGGTTGAGAGGTCTTAAGTTTCTATGATAAGGAAAATAATTAATCCATAAGGAAAAAAGTCTCATGTTTTATTAGTGGAAGTATAACAATAAAATTAAATAATAACTACTCGTAATTTCACGCTTGGATATTTTATTTAGATAATAGTAATTATTAAATTTTATTTTGAAAAGGTTAATTTTGTTGTTTAGATTGAAATTAAAAGCAAAAGTATTTGATTAAATAATGGTCTTTGCACGCAAAATAATGATATTTATATTTTTTTTACTTATTTTTTTAATTTTACATTTTTAGAGATTTTAATACTTGAACTGTTTTAGTTATAATAGCGTAGCTAGGTGAAGGCCCACGTTTTGCTTGGATTGCTATGTTATTCTACATTATATATATTATTTAGATATTACTTTGTAAGAAAACCATAATTAACTAGACCTTGATTAATTTAAGAATTTTATTATTTTTATTTATGCTTTAGATAAAATTTTCAACTTGTTTAAAATGTTATATATTTTAAAATAAAAATTTTAAAATGAAAATATTAAATTCTTAAAATATCAATAGATATTAGATGTGAACGATACAAATATTGATTAAATTTCAAAATATATATTATTCTTAATTTTATAGTTTTAGAAATATTAGATTATTAGATTATTAATTTTAAAGTTATTCATGATTTTTTTGCTAAATATTAAAGACATAATTTACAATAATAAAATATTAGATTATTTTCAAGGGAAAAAAAAAAAAAAGATGATTATCATCTCACCTGAATCATAAGCAGCAACAACAACTAAGTTTGTTTTCATTCCAATTTTTTTTTTGAAATTATTTTTTGCTAGATATAGTCTTTTAAAGTCGTTAAACCCGCATGAAAAAATAAACCGTGAAATGAAATATAGAGATTTTTGTTCCCAAGCTTTGGTATGGTGAAAGAAACTTCCCATTGGATAGAGCTTCAATAAAAATATCCTAAGTCTCGCAATAAACTGCTCAATGACTTAAAAAATACTTAAGTATCAAACTAAACATTAAAGTTAAGTTAGAAATCACTTAAATGGTTATAAAAATAAAATAATAAACGACTCAGGGAGAAACACTTATGAATTTATTGGAATATTAACATTTGTAATGACACAATATTGGAATAGGAACAGTCTTATTATTCAAAAGGGATCTATTTCTATTTTTACAAAAATAATCCATCCAAACAATTTATAAAGTACAGGCTGAAACAGATGAAATCAAATGAGTGAATTAGTATTTTAGCATTGTAGTTGTCATTCACCATCCCAATCTTCAATATCTGCATCAAAGAGAGTGAAAAACTAAAATTCCTAACCACCATAAGTTCAATCATTGATTAAAATTATAGCAACACAAAATCAATAAAAACCAAATGAGTAACATTTTTTATTAGACATTTTCTTACCAATCTTTTCGTATTCTTCTTGAGATTTAAATGGCTTTACCAATTTACCTTCACATGTACATGTATACACTAAATTCAATTAATTTTTAGAGTTTTTAATAATGAAAAAAAAATGGTTCTTTTACAGCCCATTTGGAACAAATTAATCATGGTTATAGAATTCATTTATAAATGAATTCCAAATAGAATTTATTTGCAAATGAATTTGTCATGTTTGGCATGCTACAATTTAAAATAATGGATTCAATTGAATTCCACAAAATTATGCTTGGAATAAATTTTTAAATAAAAATTCATTTGTCTTTATTACTTATAACATCATTAACATAATAATTTAATAAAAATAGATAACAAACACCAATTATATACATTTTGTATGATATAATAACTTGTCATTGTTTTTATAAAAATCTAAATAATAAATTTCGTATAAATAAGTACACTAATATTTCATGCTAATTAATTAATTATATAAGCAGTAACATTCATCATAATAACTATTTCTAATTGATGTAAAAAATTTTGTTGATTTAAGTAATTAATTTGGAAACTAAAAAAAATTAAGAACTTTACTATTGTTTTTAATTGCATATGAAAATAATTATTGAAGTTTTTATAGTTTCATAGTAATAATAACTAACGTTATTACTAGACTTAAAAAAAAAAGTAATTACTGGCTTGAAATTTTCTAAAAAAATAAAAAATATAAATATAAATATAAACTAACGTCATTATTATATTAGAAAAAAAAAACATTGTTATGGTTTGGAATTTTCCAAAGAAAAAAATAAAAAGGAAAAAAAGTAAAAATAGTTGAGTTTATGGTGGATGGTAATTTTGTCAGTAAACATTTCAATGGTCAATTCTGTGGAATTCATTTAAAAATTCCATCAATTTTAGTAAAATTTGAGTTAGGCATATCTAATTCCATAGAACTCAATTCGTATAATTCAAATCTATATTTTGTTACATTTCAAACACAACATTTTGGATTTCCAAATGAATATCACAAAATTTTGTGGAATTCATTTATTCCGAACGGACTCTTAGATTTCTGTAAGATGACCATTTTATAGCTCAAGAAAGCGCTAGAATTCTGCAATTTTGTAGGATACATAGTTGATGAGATAATCTAAAATTTAAAAAATCTTTAAAATTTAATATATTGTGTTGTTATAGATAATCTACATAGATAAAAAAATTATAAAATAATGTTAATAAAGGAGATTAAAAATCAAAAAAATTGTAAAAGAAAAAGATATTAAAAAAGAAGATTAAAAAATTAGAAAATTTGTAAAAAAAAAAAAAAAAAGTTAAAAATACCTCCAATGGCATTTTATAGTACAATGCTATAAAAAAAAAATTACAACTTCTTAATTCCAAGAAAGAAAAAACTCAAGAACAACTAAGAAAGACACAAAAAGAATTCCATGAAAGTTGCAGAAATGAGATCCAAATATTTCTGAACCAAGGAACCCACTTATAGGGTAAATAAAGCAAAACTCAATAATTTAAATATTGATTTACAATAGTATATATGTAATTATTATGTAAAAAATATATATTCTCACGCCTTAATAGCAGATTAGTGAATTACCTTTGTTATTTCTTGGAATTTTCATCAACACCACCCATTCCAATATTATGAGATATTGCAATATCCCATTGTGGCTTAGCTCAAATTTATTTTTATTTAAAATACTCTCAATTATTTTTAGTTCTTGGTAGAGATCCTTGCTCTGAGGGAGTGTTTGATTTTTATTTGTGCCAACTTTCATGGCCATGGGACTATTTTTTCGGACTCACATATTCTGGTCCAGGCTTTGAATTCTGGTTGCTTAGATTCTTCTATTTTTTTATCTAGTTCTTTTCGATTATAAGCAACTTTTAAGGTCTAGTCTTGATATTAAAATCAAGTGGATTAGGAAACAAGTAAATATGACTGCTCATTAGCTTTCGAGAGTATCTATTCGTTATGTCTCCGAATGTGGGATGAGATTCCCGCTTGATTTTACTGAATTTTGTCATTTGTCTGAATGAAGTTTGGATTTTTTATTTTCAAACAAAAAATTCATTTAGTATAAAGTTATAAATTAAAATTATTTTCGAAACAAAGTACTATATATAACAAAGCAATAAGTACACTGCGAGCCTTCATCTAATTTCACTAATATTCCTTGTGATAGGAGTTTTTAATGTGCCAATTAAAAATGTATTTATTATAATAAAGAGCAAAGATAGTTAATTTCTTGTGAAATAGGTTTTAATAATTATAATTAATATATATCTTCAATTTAATTGTTAACCGATCAAATTAAAACTTACATTATAAATTATTAAAAATAATTATATTATTTTGCTACGGTATATAAAAAATAATAAAAATTTTAATATTAAATAGGATTTCGAGAAACTTTATTGTTTACCATAATTATTTTATCAAACTTTCCTTGTTTACTTACTTGTTTAAATTAAATATTAGCAAAAAAATCAAATTGATTTTTTATACTCTCTATTATATTTAAATTATGCATATTTAATATATAATATATTTTTTATTTTACCGAATTGAATTCTTATATTTTTACTATATTTACTATATTATATAATTTCTTATTTTATCAAATTGAATTATTAAATTCTCGTCATATTTAATATATACTTTATTTAGTACATAATATAATTTCTTATTTTATCCATTAGGATATAGATTTAAAGAGAAAAATTAATATAATCAATAAAATTAAATTATCTAATTAATTAGATAATTAAAATCCTTAAAGATATTATATCTTATCATATTTAATATATATTTTATTTAAAGAAAATTTAAATATAATCAATAAATTTATTATCTAATTAATTAGATAATTAATCCTTAAAGATATTATATCTTCATATTTTAAATATATATCTTATTCAGTATATTTAGTATATAATATAATTTTATATTTTATCCAATAAAATTTAGATTTAAATGAGAAATTAATATAACTAATCAAAATTAAATTTTTGCTAAAAACAATAAAATTAAAATCCTTAAGGATACTATATTCGTATCATATTTAATGTATAATTTATATAGTATAAAACATAATTTCTTAATGTATCCCATGTGTTTTAAATTTAAATAGAAAATTAATATAACGAATCAAAATTAAATTATTTTTATTTATTAAATCAATAAAATCAAAAATTATTAAAGATATTTTATTCTTAGCATATTTAATATACTTTGTATAGAATATAATATAATTTTTTAATTTATCCTATAGAATCTATCTTTAAACAGGAATTTAATATAATCAATCAAAATTAAAGTACTATTATTTTCAACTAATACAATTCAAATCCTTAATAATATTTTTGTCAATCCACAATTTAATAGGAGCATTTTTGGTAATCTGAATGTTTCTTCTTCTCATTCGTACTTTTATATATACTAGTCTTTTTATGATATGTGTTGCACTCGTTATTCATACTCATTGAATTTTTTTATGTTATTGCTCACTTTTACTTGTTATTTATACTCATTTTTATTTTTAATTTTAAATATTGATTATAATTTTTGTTTTATATTATTTAGATTTCATAATGTTAAAACAAAATTTCATATAAGATTAATATAAACATAATGATTAATTAATAAACCAGCAATGTGTACATACACACATATTGCAGTTTAATATATATCAT